AGAATGTTATTGATTTTTAAAAAGGTTTTTGAAGTGAATTGAAAAATTCCCCTTTTAAGAATATTAGAACACGTGTTTCCTAACTATAATATCAGAAATATTAAAGGGACCTGTGAATAATTCTAACTGGGAAAGCATTCACATTCATTCATATTTTATACTTCTGGACAACACAATTGGTAGGGATCGGTCTAGGTTGCTATTCACGTGAAATATTTAGACAGGCGACACGAGCGCGGGCCAGACCGGCTGCGTCTGTGAGCGTACAGTGTTTTCTGGGCTGTCGCAGCTGGAGACGTTTGCTGCGAGAAGGGTATTTTGGTTCCTCTCATCACTGCCCACCAGACTAGAGCTCCATACATCTCCTCCTGCATCTTGTTCATGTTTCATGTTGAACTTTCTGAAACGACTTTCACGTGGGTAAAATCGTTTCCGTCTTCTCAATGTGCCCCACTCTGACCCCAGAGAGCCGGAGCCGGCGCCACCGCAGGGGCCGTCCCCAGGACTCAGCAGGACAGACAGAAGGCCCGGTGCTCAGCACGTAACAGACACCCCGTGGTGGCTGACATGATCGTGACAAGACTTCCACCCTAGATAGTTTGCAAAACGGGTGCTTAAATAACTTTAATAGTACATCGTTTTCTCTTTTGAAAAGTATTTATGAATCATCGAACCTACCTTTTTAAGAAACTGGTGTAACTTGATCTGAAAGTGGTAGACATCAGAATTCGTGACATTGGTAGCTGTGTCATTTATGTTCCATGTGTGCCTGTGTGGCGTGTTGATATACGGACTTTGGTTCAATGTGATTGAACGAACAGTAAATGTGTTTGATTTGATGCTTATACATGTTTGGCCATAATAATGTTATATAACAGGCACGTTTCTCTTGATACTTTCAGAGGGTTTTGCAATAAGGGATAAGGTTTAACCTTATCCCTCAGTTAAACATTTCTGTATTAGCAAACATATACGATAAACATTTCCCTTTACGCTCTTTCCAAACACAATATTCCAGAATTATTTCAGTCACATTTATTATTCAGAATCCTGAACAGAAAATAATTAAGGAAGGGCCAGGAAGTGTATTTCACCAGGTGGTGTTTCTTTGAGAGTAAGACGCCCAGTTATTCTGCACAGGCCCACGAGCTCTCTGCTGCTATTTTGTCCCCGCTCACCGAGCTCACCGACACGGGTCCCTCCAGCGCCGCCCCCCCCCCTCCGCCGCCGGCTGCTGTCACCCTGGAAGCCGGCGTTGGCGTCCCTCCACCAGCGGAGTCCTCCCCGTGGAAACCCACAGGGTGACTGCCTCACCTCCACGGTGTCGACTCAAACTCACCTTCTCAGGGCAGCCGCCCCTTCCCTGTACTCGCTACAGTGGAGCGACTGCTCTTCCCCCCCCACACACACTTTTTGACATTTGCTTCCTGGTAAGTGGCACTGAAGGCCACGGACACACTAGTAGGTCCTAAAGGCAGAGGCCGGGTTCTGTTTGTTGAACAGGCACGTCCTCTATCAGAAGTGCCTTTTGCCCCTATCATTATCCAGTTGTCGAGCACTTTGCGGCACTTTTCAAAGAAAGCACATTGACAGAGAGGAAAACGATGCGTTGAGGAAATGACGTCACAGTACTACACTTTGTACTTAGAGAGCCCCTTTCTCCGAAAATGCTAATTCTGCATCGAAGCACATGAGCTCATTATCTTGTCTTCGTCTCTGGTTGGCCCGAGTAACCCAGTTTGCTAATGAAGAGCGGAGTGGGCAAGGTGAAATGGCTCCCACAGGGCACACGGGCAGTCAGTCGGCCGGTGGTGGTGCTGCTAAGAAAAGCCCAGTGTTCTCTTTGTTCAATACATCATTCCACCCAGGGCTGGGCTGGAGGTTCTCTCTCATTATGATACGCTGTCACCTCGTCTCAGCTCATACCCAGTGGCAAAGGAAATGATGAGATAAATTTAAAACTTAACCAGGCTCTTTCAATCCGAAGATGAAAAAATACTATTTTTAGATGATGAGAAAGTGAACAAAACCATCTCAGACCTTTATCTACTGAAACAATATGATATGTCTCAGCCTTAGAAAGCGAGCATATTTTAAAATGACTATAATTAAATATTGTGACTAGGAAAGAACATTAATTTTTACAGCAGGTGAAAATAATGCGGTAGCATGTAGCAGGAAGGGGGGTAGAGGAGAAAGCTGTCTAATTTTGGCCTACTGGAACCACTATAGATTTTCCATCCGCCTCAGCAGAAATGTAACTTCAAGAGCGTAATAGCAGTTTTCCTTCCCGCTTGGAGACTCCATGTTGAGGTGGCTGGACCAGTTGGGTGCGCAGGCCTGCCTGGGACTAGCCCAGCAAGTTGTCAGTTCCACCCTTGCTGCTGCTGCTTCCTTCTTTCTAAGTGGACATTGATTGGTTCTTGGGGTGTATAGTCTTGCCTTGGCTTTGGAGTGGTTATGAATCTTCTGAGGACCAAAGAACGTGGGTAGTAAACAGCCTTTATTTTTTTTTCTTCTTTGCATTGTTGTGGGGGCTGAGAAAGTCAAGAAGTGTGGACTGATTCCCCTTACGTTAGTCTGTTTAGCTAACCTCGTGTCTTTTCTTTTCCCTCTTTGGGGATAATCATTCACACTTCTGGAATAATTTAACTTCTTCTTTTGAACCCACTAACACTTAAGCTACATCAGAATTGTGGGGTTTTGCCTTTTTTCATGATACACAAAGAGAATCTGCAATTAAAACAACAGCAAGAAGTAATGTATGTGTTAGAGATCGATAATGGGGTTGCCCATTTTAGCCCATATAATTTCCAAATAGTTAAAAGCACTCAAATATGTTTACTTAATGAGTTCATATGCCTGAAAAGTAAAATTAAATGTTTGGAAGAAAGTGAAGAAATAAGTTTCAATTTTTGTTCTTAGTGAGAACATTGCAAATCAAAGAAAACTGTTTACTAGACCATCCTTTCCTTGCTGAGGGAACTTCTTTTTCTCCTCGTTTTGTTTCTCCATCCATTATTCAGAGATTAAAAACATATTTTATTGTAACAGTCGCCCATACTTGCTAATTAGAGGTAATTGTCAGAGGGAGGATGAGGCTGTCCTCGCCTCCCCCAGCGCCCTTGCTCACCTGCCTGTCCCCCGTGGGACCTGCCCCACTGGGACACTCACTCCTCAATGTCAGGTTCCCAGAGTCTGAAGGTCTGGTTCAGTGTGTTCGACCGACCGGTGTGTTTAAATTCAGTGCTTTGTGCCATTCCCATGAATTCTGGCCACTTACACTGCCATTTTTTAGAAAAGTGCACTAAACCCCGTGTGCCTCATTCTGAAAATGACTCCGTGCATTAAGGCTCATTTAACCAACCGCCGATGGTTGGCAAGAAGTCGAGAGATTTACAGTTAAGTTATTGGTCCTGATTTTAAAGCACAGTTATAGTGTGGACCTTCCTTGTACTGCAGGCTTGTAAGACACCGTGTTACCAACCTCTCAGTCATTAGGAGTGCTGGCTTCTGTCTCACTAGTCAGGATGTCACGGCGACGATGTTGAGTCAGGGAAAGCAAATCCGTCTCCAAGAGGCAGAGATGGTAACAGGGTCGGCACCCGCAGTCGGTGAGCCGTGGGAGGGACCGATCGGTGGGCATCGCCGAGTCTGTGTAAAATGGTGTCCTTTTGGCACTCACTGACTATAAATTTCAGTAAGTGTTTTTTTCTTGCGGCAGATCAGTGCAACACAGTGAAATTTTCTGTAACGGGGGGGCGGCAGCGGCTGGGCGTCTGCTAATAGCCTGAAAATCACTAATGAGGATGTGCGGTGGGAGCGATTGATTGAATAGCTGCAGTCGTGTGTTTCTCTCTCGCTTACTCTTTCTGCAAGCTGTGGGGAGGGAGGGGGAGAGCAAGACACTGGGCGGGAGCGGGAGGGGAAAAAAACCCGCTTTCTCTTAAGTGGAAGTAGCACGGATCCCAGGGGCCAGGAGGCCAGAAATGGAAGTTTGAGCCGCATCTGTCTTTTAAAGGGAGAACAGCAGGAAGCAAAATGTCAGTCTCCGGAGTCACGACTTACTCCTTATTTTTTTAAGATCTGGAAGATCCCACAGAATACTTTTTTTAGGATGTGTTTTGTTTTTCCTTGTCCATGTTGAGATTATCTCATGTTCCCTGAGAAGCTGGATTCCTATATGTCTGTCAGTTGAAGTGGAGATGGGAAGCAGTTGTGACAAAGGTATAATTACGTATCTCTCTCTCATCTGTGTGTGCTTGTGTATGTGCATCTTTATGCATATATCTCTCTTCGAAGAAAATGTAACCTTAATGTAGTGTCTAGTCATTAACTTTGAGATTACCACATTATGTGCAAAATCTGAAGCTGGTTAACTAGCGTGAATAGATTGAGGATTCCAGAGTAAGATCCTAATAAGGTCATATTGCCAGAACAAGGAGAAGCTGATCTATTTTTGTATCCGCACAGGCATATATGATATTTTTCCCTGGCAGCGGCTCTCAGTCTTTGCATAGCCCTTTGGTTTGCAGCCTGGCGAATGAATCATCGCATCTGCACACAGCTGAACTTTGACCTTTGTGCAAGCAGCATCACACCACGAGCAGCCCTAGACTGTGTTTTGTTCACAAGAGCATCAGAAATTTCTGTTAACTCCTATATTGCTGACAAATGGAGAAGTAGATGCATACCCTGTGAGAGGCAAATATTAAGCGAACTTACAGATATTAAACTTAGCTCAGAGGAAATTACTTTTTATATGTGCACAGATAAGACATAAGCTGCTGCCCGACAGCAGATTCTTAACTGTGACCGTCTTCTAGTGTCTCGATGGGTCAAATGCCACAGAGATAAAGAGAGAAATGGTGTGGATGTAGAATGTAATGTACCTTTAAAGCAAACTGATTTTGTGGGAGGGGGGAAAAAAACAATGATTTTGCAAAGAGAAATCTCTGGAATGCGGAGTTCTTAGTGATGTGCCATCCATTCTCTTCCAGAGGTGCCCGCAGAGAGGTCCCCCCGCAGACGGAGCATCTCGGGGACCAGCACGTCGGAGAAGCCCAGCTCCATGGACACTGCATATACCTCGCCCTTCAAAGTACCAGTAAGCGTTTCTCTTCTCCCAGGGGATACTTCGCTTTTCTTCTTTCTTCTTAGAGTTCGAGAGAATTACTATGACCATTTTGTTCCTCAGGAATTTCTTTACAGTACTTATGTTGAAGGGATAAAGTTATCAACTTCTGTAGATTATTAACTGTGGCTAATGCCCACTACCCTCAGCTAAAGGCTCGTTAGGTTGTAGGGAGTTTTATTTTTGCTTGTGGGTCACTTCCAACCTATAGGGTCCGGCAGAAGGAAGGCCTGCATGAGTGTGGTCGGTCAGGTAACAATATGGATGTAACAACTTACAGTTTTCATTTGAACACTTCACCTACAATGTCCTAGGGTGTGCTTGAGTGTGATAGTGTTATGTTACAGAGTGACATGCTTATGATTTTGTAATAAAAGTTTGTAATAAAAACTGGGGCATTATTTGTGCCAGACCCTGTATATAAGTAAATACATGAAATTCAAATTCCTGTGAACTATACAATGCAAATCTTTGCAGAATGACCTTTTACCAAGTTGCTAGCCAAAACCTATCATAGTTCTATAAAGGTGCTGGTGAGAATTAATTAATTCATTTCTTTCTTTCATTTTTTTAAGGTATGGGGTATGATTTTTTTTTAATTTTCTAGAGCTGGGACATAAGTAGAGAATGATGAGACTTATAAAGTTGTAAAGCATATAATCAGAGAATTTAAACAATTGTGAGTTCTAATCATGAAATCTGGCCTGTGCTTTGCTTAAGTCATCTTTTAAATGACCCTTAAAGTGCTTAAGAAATAGCCTGGCAGAAACCCTCCCATGTAAAATACTCCTTAAACTGATGAGGTGGTGTTGAGAGTCAGTGTTCAGTTCAAAGGGTGCCGACGGGGGGAGCCCCCAGGGGGTGGACACCTCGGCTGACCACCAGCTGCAGGCCTGTCATGGACCGTTGGATGTAACTCTGAGTGACCCGTATCTTCATTCATTCATTTTCTTTGTTTATTGAGCAAGAAATGCAGTTACCTCCAATCATATTATTAAAGTCCATTGTGTTTAAACTTGACAAGAATGACCTGCATAAAGTTGGTCATTATTGTAGATACAATGGAAATCAATATAAAAAAGAAATAGATTTTTCTGTGGAAGTAAAGAGGTTTTTTTACCTTAATTCAGCCTAGTTAATATCTTATATTCTCTCTTTATGTACTTATTCCAGGGCTATTTTTTTTAAGTTGGGATGACGTTTTACGTAGAACTGATATTTTGAGACATACAAGTAGGCATTCATTAGTAAGTTAACTTTAATGATGTTTTGTTATGGATTAACCCTAAGGAGCAAGATTTCTCCCTATTGTATCTTAGTACCTTGTAGTTTGTGGATACTTGTTACTGTGCCTTTTCAAGTTTTTACAATTTTATTCGTTTTTAAAGATCACAAGCAAATGTTGGGTTAATATTCTAACCCAATTATGACAGGAATATTAAAATAGTAGGTTTCATGCCTTTTACTAAACTTCTCTGTTCCATAGGTATGGCTCCCTATTCTTTAAAACTTTTTGGTGAATGAAGAAGGCATTTTTTCCTCTCCCCTGTCCTTGTTTTCCTGATGAGACAGAGATCAAATGTACTGAAAATAACTATCCACATACAGAGTTTGGCAAAAAGGGATTGAACTAGAATTTGAAGTTTTCATACCATCATGCTGGAATAGAATGGTGAATGCTTTAAAAGAATTTTTAAGTCAGTAGCTGAAGAACATCCTTCTGCAAAATGGGAGCATTGAAGTACTTCTAAGTTCAGTCTGAAGTTCATGTCTGGGCTTTAAACAATTTGAATTAAGTATGAACAACAATTTTTAATTGATTTAAGCAATAAGTTGACAGGTAGTCTAAGGTTTACCTTCACTCTGAGACTAATGATTCTCGAGTAAAAGTAATACACTGACAACGCGTGCACACCAAGACTGGCACCGTGTACAGACCACTGGCTCAGCAGTGAGGCTCCCGACCACCTCCGCCACCTCCTCGAGGGAAGGAGGAGGCCTTTGCCTAACCAGTTGCGGTCACTGAGCCTATGAGCTTCGTTCTAGGAGGATTTAACCCTCCACGAGCCCTTGCCTAGACAGTCATTTGAAAAATAACCATCAGAACACACTGGTTGCAGAGCCGTAAAAACAATCTGAACCCACTTAGGATAAAGGCAAAGAGCCTTACATTCATCAATAGCCCTTAATGGTACCATCGTGTTACAGGATGGATGGTGCACAGTGCAGTAATTGACGTTAATAATGCTCCTGAATCGTGAAGTCAAGAAGTGAGGTTGTATTTGTTGTTCTGAGCTTTTTAAAAAGTGGACTGTACAATATTGTGTAATATATATCCAGTGTGAGCATTTATATTGTGTAACATATAGCCAGTGGGAGTTTTTAAAATCTTGAAGATCTGTGATGCTTAAAAAAACTTACCAGAAAAATCTGCCTTGTGAAGTACCTCATTCCTTGATAATGCTGGATAAATAATTTATATTCTTCTGAGAGAAACCGTAACACGCTGGCTAAAGGAGGCACCGTAGTACTTGGATGTCTATGGAGGTACACTGTATTTTTTTTTAATTTATGCATAACACCAATAGCTAATGTGACTTGCATCGCTTACATGTATTGGCGATAAGAATAAGAAGTATGTGTATTTTTTAGATCAACACAAAATACTGTAGTAATTAATATCAAAATGGACTCTCTGAATATAGAAAAGCAGTACAAAAACGAACCAAGCTCTGAGATGCTTAACTTTGAGTTACTGACACAGTATCACAAAGATGGCGATCTCCATGTTACCTTGAGGAAGGGGCAGAAGTTGTAGGTAGGGTTCAAGTGTCTTCACTGTGGTGAACGGCAGGTGGTTCAGTGCTCCTCAGTTGAACCCACAAGGGAGCTAGTAGTAGGCTCCCCACAACAGCCTGTCCTTCCTGGCGACATTTTCACGCTCACTCGGAGCAGAGCAGATGAAAGAGATCTTAGCAAGCCTTGACTGAAACGACTGACACACTTGTTGAATGCTTACTTTGGGCAAAGTGTTGGTGATTCGCCAATTATAGATACTTCCCTGGCACTGTACGTGGTGCTAGGGAACAGAAATGAACCCAGAATTTTCCACTCTCAGAGAACTTACAATCTAGTAGCAAGAGACAGAAAAGGGGCCAGGTTCATAAGGAGGTAGATACGTATGGTTACACGAGTTTTTAAAAACGTACTGTGTTTGCTAAGGCTTTGCCGTGAGCCAGTGTCTGAGCCTAGTTTCAAAGGCTGAATGAAAGTAATTGACAAGGGAAGGGGAGTATTCCAGGCTGAGCCAACAGCATTTTGGGAAGGCACGCTTCATAAGGTAACCGATGCCATCAGGGAACATGGAAAGGGTTCAGTGAGGCGGGAATAGAAAAGCGTGTAGGCAAAAATGGTGAGAGAGGGGCCTGGGAATGTGAGTTAGGACAAGACGTAAGTGAGTGGCTTTGTTTGTCAAGCTTGCCTAAATTTTGCTGGCTGCTAAAGCATTAGAGATTAGTTTATTGAAATATTTGTCTTGGCCCATAAAGCTAAACCAAGTTGTATAAATACTGTGAAGTGTCGGTAAATTACTTGCCTCTTTCCCGAGTGACTCTTCTTCCTCTTGCCAGCACTCAGAGTCGGGGGTAAGGGGCCGGCATTCAGTAGAGGACCAGTCCAGCCGCCACCTCGCAGCTGACAGCACTAGAGTCGAGGTCAGCTTCTGGGAGACCCGGGGGAGGCCGTCCTGCTGAGCTCCTGGGGGAGGCGGAAATGAGCCACAGTGTGTAACCAGAACAGTGAGCCCCCCACAGGGGGGCGGAACCTTTGTGTAGCCTCCTCATTCCCCCAAATTTGTATTTTGAAAAATGTAAAATGGATATCCAGCACAGCAAGATGGCTTAGACTCTTACTTAGTCTAAGCTATCTTTATGCAAGTATAGACAACAGAGTCAGTAAGTTTGAAAAGAAGTGCATGAGAAATGAAAGAGGGAACTTATATAGACGCTGAACCTACAGGTTAAGGCGATGACCTGGTTTTTAGGAATGTTTAAGTGCATTTGTACTTTAATCACCCATAAGAAAAAGCAGTGATTCGCGTGATAGCTGTTCTGCTCTTCCTCCCTCTCACCCCGAGTTTCTCCCCTGTAATTCCCATTGTACTTACAGTTGGCCCTTGACCAATGCTGGGGTTCGGAGGACCGGCCACCCAACAGTCGAAACTTTGTGTGCGTCTTCAGTCAGCACTGTGCATACACGGTTTCCCAACAGTGGATTGAAAATAGTATTTGCTTGTAGGTCTGTGTCCCTCATTAGACAGTGGATACCTCTTCTGTTCATCTTTGCTGCCACCCCAGTGCCTAGTACAGTACCTTACACACAATGGACACCTAACAAATAATTGCAAGTGAACGAAATATGCACGAATTATCGAAGGACCAGAATAGAGTATCTCTTATACTCACTCTCTTGGTATTTACTGGTGAGGTCTCTGGTCAAATAGATTACCAAACCATTTGATAACCACTAAGGGATCATCTGGAATAAGTGAGTGTACCTGTGCAGAATACTAACATTTTTTTCCTCAATAAAGCAAGATTTGAAGTTGTATTTGGAATCAGGGCTATGATGTCTTACGTATACAGGATATACTATGTCGACTTATATTGGGAAGTGAAACTAGGTAGACTTTTTCTTAATTAGTGATTTGTTTCTGTGACTCTGATCCATTCAGGTTTCATATATTGTGTAAGCTCACAATGTTTCTGCAGATCTGAGTTTTGACTGTTAGATCCCTCAAGAATGGTTTTGGTCATTTGAATAGTTTTTGCCTCTTTTTAAAGATCCTATGTTTCACTTTTTCTTTACCATCCTGGTACACTTTTTACCTCTGTCATATTGTGTTTTCCTTTAAACAAGGTATCCATTCTATGTTTTATACATTGTCAAAACTACATTAAAATATTACAGGAGTT